ATGGAATTGTATTTGTAGTACAATTGCTATTAATAACGCGTATTTATTTATGTATTACAAAAAAAAGTAACCGCCGTTTTACACTGTATCTAATAAAATTTTGCAATTTTTAAACTCCATAAAGTTTTGTTCACCGAGACATGCTAAATAATCCTTGCATGTGAAACGTCGAATGCTTCTTCATTAGATGCAGTTCGTAATAAACCTACGTAGTCAACCAAGCTTTGGATTAACGAATTTTTTCCCAACAGTCCGAACTTGCAATTGAATACAAGAATATTCGATTTACAAATATTACGAACTTAGTTTCTTACTGAGCATTATTCAAAATGTATGCTAATCTATAAGTTGCAGCAGATACGGTACATTGTATGTACATGCGCGATGGTTACTTGTGTTTTTCTGTTAGCTCGCTTTAACCATCCTCGAGATCAACAACCAGGCGGTGAACATTCTTGTCTAATAAAGTATTGCCCATGCTTTCACTCACTAATGCACGCGAAGCTGTTCTTTCTTAAACTCATCTTCTGTATTTAATATGCACTTTCTGGTATCATGTCAGCTTATGCTACGAAGTTCTTCAACAGTAAAATTTTATCCTCACAAAACCTATTCTGTTTTCTTGTTCCTTATTGCTATTGATCATCTTGAAAGTTGAAGAACTATGAATATTTTGTATTGGAGTGACTAAAGGAATACCAACTGGTCAAGCTATCGAATCTTCATAAGCCATTGATATTGTCTTCACTAGGAGTTTTCTTTTATTCTGTATTTACAAAGTGAACATGGTGCCACGGAAAGATTAAAACTGCTGAACGCGCCACAGATTGATCATAATTAACTCTCCCGTTTGCATTTCACCTTTAAGCTTAGAAACAAAGAAAGGAAGAGGAGAGAAGAACATGTTAATAATGTCACCAATGATGTGTAGTATAGATTTTACTAGCGCGACCAAAGTATAGGGATACTCATCAATGGCCTTGGGCAATGGCCTTGAGCCCGAGTATTTCCTTCCATGCAATTGCTCTAGTGAATATGCAAATATGCTGTATATACTTTGTTTTTAAAGAATAATAAAGAGACAAATTATGTGTATCGATTATCGTAAATATGTCCGATTGATTTTTGGCAATTGACATCGGAACCCTTTAAATAAAAACAAACTCGCAAATTGTCCCAAATTGATGAAAACATGGGCAGTTAGCATAGAAATAAATAATGACATGAATATCAACATTGGTATTTTTGTCAGCATCTATTATAATAAATTTTAAATTACCCAATTTTGTTTTCTAAATATATAATATAAGAGTATTCCTGTATAAAATCAGACAATAACAAATGGAACATCTGACGTTACCGGTGTTAGTATTAGGAACTACGTTTGGAAAAAAAAATAAATTTTTTCTGTCGATGAAGATAGTAAGTGTCGAAAGAAAGTTGACCGAATAACCCGCGTATTCTGAACACCATTCGTACCTTTGACGGTCGTTATCCAGTGTTTTACAAAAAATCCTTCCAAAGATTGGTCGCTTTTGGACTTTTAACAAGAAATCGCACTGAGATCATCGCGTTGCCTCCGACTGGACGTCTTAACGGTGCTTGGCAAACCGCTTCCTTTACAAAGCCAAAGAGAATCCACAGTGGATCCTTCAAAATGGAAGGCAGTGTATTTTTATCTTAACGAATGGTGCGAAATTCTTGGCAAGTGGTGCGGAACCTCTTGGAAGGGCCTCTAACCAAGAGGGTGGGGGCGGTGGCGATGTCACCCTCTTTTTCTATATCATCCACTTTGTGGAATCTATAAGCTTTCTTTGACGGTCACTACCGGTAACGAAGTGGCGAGAGCAGAATTGGTGTTACCTAATTCAAATTCTTATTACCAGTGTTCATATTATACAAACAAAAAATTATGTTTGGATAAGCACTATTACCGAGTTTTGGCGTCTTTGCTATTAATTGTTAATTTTAGTTTTGCACTTAAAGTAGAAAGCATAAATAGGAAAATTGTTGCAGCTTATGAAATTTAAATTTATTTTGACTTCTGTGAATTAGTTTTTCAGGTCCCTCCTTTGAATTACTGTAAAATGGGAAATTATTATTTCGTAATTATGAAGAGAAAAACATATATTACACTCGGTTAGCCAAATGACCTATTATCCCATTAATTGGTTATACGATGCGAAGGCATGGCATGCTAGTAGACATATACACGTTCAGATATTCGATCAAATATAGAATAAAAAGGAAATGTGCAGATAAGATTGGTCTTCTCTTATTACTGTATTTGCGTTCAATCGTTAGTAGTTATCTCTGGCCGGATATTATTAATTGATTAAATCTCCAGCAGTAAATTTGCGGTTTTCAAATGTTCTTCAAGTAATTGTAATTTATGGCGCACGAAAAGCTTTCGATAATGAGATTTGAAACTATGTACTATACCGGCATCACGCGGTTGTAGTGCAAATGTCGTTGATATTTGTTGGTTCGTTTTCAGAGAAAATTTTATGCACTGAGACCATTTGAGCCACTCGTTGAACATTGACACCTAATTTATTACAAGCTAATTACATAGCTAATTATATACTATATTTATTTAATCGCTATAAATTAATTCAAGCAACGCATTACCTGCATATGAGCTTTAGAATACTGAACTGGAAGATGTGCAGTTCTCAGAAGACGTGATGTTTGGTGTTTGTAAATAAACAATGGTGGCAATTTATCTGTTCCTGAGGCGTCTGTTGTTAGTAGTATCGAAACTTTACCTTTATTCTTTTTTCTCCCATTGAGCTTAGGATTGGATAAGGTTTCATTGCCCAGAATGCATTATATATGTCATCCAATCCTTACAAAGTTTTTCTCTCTTCAAATAATTTCACCCTACTCACTACCGCTTCTCCATGCTTTACGGTTTATAACGTTTCTTAAACTTAGACAGCCAGCCGTCTGTTCCTTTAAGTCGTTAATTTTTACACGCTTTGCATAATGGCGAGCTTTAACAATTATAACATCACCGTTAAGAGCATAGCATTTTCTATAACAGACGACGTTCATAATGATAGATTTCTTAATCGTTTAGCATAATAATAAGGTTATTTATAATCGGCAGAATCAATAAATTAACCCTTGAATGGAAATGTTTGAATGTAATTGTAGTATATAATAAAAATTATTTATACGGTCGACTTAACAAATTTATAAGTTCGATATCGACAGTCGACTGTCGCAACAGGGGGAATATACGTACATAGGAGATTCTTAATACTACGGATTTAATTGGTCTGGTTTTGTTTATTATTATCATTCATTATCGTAACAGTAAATTTTTTTGCTTAGTGCAACCAAAGAGGGGTAATTATAAATCTATATTAATCGTGAGAACTGCATTAAAATTTTGCATGGCCTTTCCCAAGATGCCTTGCAAGAAACGGATATTCCAGTGTAATGTGTTTATAATCACATACACTTTATCGTCATTCAATCACGGATTGAAGCAGTGCATAACGATCATTACATTAGATATCACGTTATGTTGACGTAATATTAGTTTGCATATGATACTGTATGCTCCATTCTCTGCTTACTCTAAATGCAAAGTAAGAATTCAATTGATGCTACAGTTAGACGCATAATTCTCCGAATGGAATACGATTGTGAATGTATAACTTATCGCCATCAATGATAATCTCCGCTCGGTACTAGTCACTGATGAAGCACAACCAGATATCTTGACGGTTATTGTGATACAGCCAGTGGTTGAACCGACAATTTGGAAATTATCTTGACAGTACACTAATTACGAAGGTACCATGTTTCCCTTGTTACAGAAAATATTACAAATTTAGCTTAATAAGTAAAATAGCATTGACGGTTTGAAAGGTTTGCATGAGGAAAATCTACCCCGTCCGAATTCTAGTCGCTGTGCGTCGCCAACAATTAACTATCAAGACGTCAATGGTTGTAGTGATTATTATTAATACTATGGCGTTTTGTCGTTAATTAGTAATTGATATTTTAATTTCGGCCGTTTATAATTAGATATTGGGGTAGGTATAATAAATAATAACCGATAATCGGCTTAGGACAATGACCGCTATTATGCGACAATAGCATAGATTATATTATCAATGCAATCGGAAGAGATATTCTTCTTTGTTTAAAGGTTGTCATTTTAGGAAACATGTATGTGACTTTTATTGTACAAATGGGAGTCAAACTGTACAATTTAGTTGCCATATTCAAGCAAGACTCTTCCGAAGTCTCCTCGTATTGTTTTCTGCCTTTTGTGGAATGACAACGACACACAACCTTCCGAATTTCAAATTTGTCTGTGGAGCAGATCCAGAACAATGGAGCAACAATGTGCGTGATAACCTATGATTAATAATTGTATGGATTAGCTGATGTTCGTTTCTGTGTCATTCGTTTGTCTAACGCCTATAAAATCCCTGTACAACACAGCGCAAATCGTATGTTCATGACGCCGTACATATAAGATATAATATACATCAATTATACAGTTCAATAAATAGACTTTGCACAAATACTATGACCAATACAGTTAATTACGAGATGCTTATTATAAACACATATATACGTTATTTAAAACCTTGTATAATTAAATCGTTGTGGGTAATTCTCACAATATATATTATTTATATTCTTACACTACAAAGCATTATTTAAAGATTTATGATTCATATTATATACAGCCATTGAACTTAATAATACAACTGTACTAGTACTACTGATATAAATGCTATCTTTTTTGAATCACCCTTCAACTGCATATAACACAGAGAATCCTCCCCAAGCTGAATATTTCTTCAAGACTTGGGTGTGTACTAAAATGCCATCTTGCCTCTTTTAATCAACCATCAACTCTCCACATAGTACACAGAGGTATCTCCTACGTTGAATGCCTTCTAAAGACTTCATTTGCTATTCTAAAACTCCGATCATCAGAATCTTCACTAGTTAGTGCTCTATCCTCAGCAATGATTGATGTCGCCCCTTCTATAAGCTTTGACCAACGTATTGACTGTCTACGCAATCACGTCTCTATTCAAAATCATCTCTCTCAGACTCCTCCGTCTATTGCCACTTTCTCTGCTCAACTTGATCATTACAACTCGTACAGCAACTACGATTGTTATTACGACGACTTACCACGACAACCACAGCCATCCTCTGTCAACTATATCGACTTTCAATCCACACTCTTACCTCCTCTCCTCTCTCCAACCACCACCGACTCTTCTGTTACCCCTTCTTCATCTCCTTTATTGCCAACTCTACAACAGTCAGTAGAACAGGAGCACATTCAACCGAAAACGGAAATTGTCGGCAACGCAACCATTACTAAAAACACGCGACAGAACTATTCCCAAATGACACATCAATCAGACCCGACTCAGTCTTCTTCAATCATACCTTTAACAACGTCCTCCTTTATAGAGCCACCCGGGCACTGCTTTGGCGTCACTCCAAGTCCAAGCGCATCTCCGGTTTCTCCTCAATCACCTTATTTCCCTACAACCGCGCTGACGTCAGCCCCAAATAATGCGGTTCTAAGTAATACTCAACCTTCTCCAATAAATATACAATCATCAAGATATATTGCCACTGCTGCACCCGCTTACCATCAACAGTCAGCCCTGCTTCAACAAGGCCCAGTTTCTCAACACAGATTTATGAATCCTACAGACGTCTCTGTCCCTTCGGCATCATCTCAACAGATGATCACAATAAACGACTTGCCCCCCGCTACCAATTTCAATCCGAGTTTTCTGAATCAGAGGGCGTCTTATTCTGTGCCCTTGTCTGATCGTAATAATAACAACCATCATCACCGTCATCATCACCATCATCATCACCCACCTCTCTCTCTTCCTCACCAACACCACCAACATCATAAAGCTCCTTTATCAAATTTACATCAATCAAAATCACAGACATCGCAATCGGATACCTCCTCTATGCCATCCGTACATGGCTACATTCAGCAACCGGACACTGATTCAATGTTTCTCAGACAAACACCAACATTTCGAATGCAATCTGCAACAATATCTTCCACGATCTCTCCAGCTTTTGGTGCAGCAAACACTGTTATGCACCCTCATCTCAATTCTACATGGAATAAGGCAGCCACTGCCACTCTTACTATTCCTCGAGCAATGGTCACGCCTGTCAATTCGACTGCTCCTTTCGCAACTATGGCTCCACGGCCAATGTTCTCTTACAGTGGTCCGCCCAAGAGCTATCATTCTCGTCTGCCTCTCTATGACCGACCATTCAAATGTGATGAATGTCCACAAAGTAAGTGTTACATCGATTTGTTTATAAAGTTCACGTGTTCTGTGTCCAATTCGTGCATGAGTACCGGACCGACAATCGATTGCCCGGGGAAAGTGAGCGGATTATTTTGTAAACAGAACAGATATGCTAACCTCAACCTCCTGTATATAGGCTTTAATCGTAACCATGATCTGAAGCGCCACAAAAGGATTCATCTTGCTGTAAAACCCTATCCTTGTACTCATTGCGAGAAACAGTTCAGCCGCAAGGACGCGTTGAAGAGACACATTTTAGTTAAGGGCTGTAATAATGCTGCTGCGGCAAAGAATTTACCGCATGCAGACGGATTGGCGGATGAGAATAAGACGAACAGTGCCCAATAGAAGTGTAGTTAATTGTCATCAATGCACAGTGACAATGTGCCTTAAACGACGCGATGTTAATTGATGGTTGATGTGATTCACGAAATTTTCGAATATGTCGCTTTCTCCTTTATTTCAATTAACAACCTTTTCCAAAGCTTCCCGCTTCCGCGTTGGATGATCGGAGGTTGAATAATCATACAGATCTAAAAGCAATGCTCTATAGATATGCAAAATATAATCCATTTCAGATGGGCGATGTTTAACTATTCACCAAACATGCTCTCCCCTATCCTATATCATCATGCGTATATAATTAAGGAGATGTCTTGTATATTGTACCAAAATGAGGTCAGGTGAGCCGTGTATATAGATTAACGATTGCTTACTTCGCGTTTCCTTTATGTTTATATCCCGCATGATATGTAAATATCTTATATTTCCTTCCTTACCTTTTCTCATAGTTTGAACGACATAAATTTATGATACGCTGCCATAGTTCAAGAATCCAACACAGGAAGAATTGTTGGTATAAATTCAATAAAGTATAAATGTTACGCCGTTGTTAAGTATGCGGGAGGTAGAGTCATACTCTCTATAATAGAAATGTTATGGTATAGTTTTATGAATATTTGTATGAAAAAAAAATTAAATATATGCAAATTAAATGGTCAATTTTTTATATTCATGTGATATGTGCTGTGAATAATATGTATTTGATATTAATATGCGCCATTAATAACTGTGAACATTGCAGCATTGATATCAGTCATTGCCAACTTCTTCAAGTTGTTTCATAATACGACGAGACTTTCAATGAATGTGGCTTAAACCATTACGTAACAACAAAGGTACAGTACTCACGTGTCAGACAGATAACTATATACAGATATGATCGACACAACATATCACACACGTGTAACATATACTCTTACGAAATGATATTAATATTATAATATAGATTATTTTTTTTCCTGTTACATGAATCTTTCAGATACTACGGTAATTTTTTATCCTTAATATTAAACATCAATATAATCAGTTTATTCCATTAGTCAAAAAGCATAAACTTAATGACAGAAATAGGAATTGTTCAGTAGATATCAAGAGGCATTTCCTTCTGAAGGACATCGCCTAAATCAGAAATTGTTCATTTTTTTCCACACATAATTGAGTCAAAGAATGTTTTCGCTTATATTCACATTCAAATCTCATGAAATTTATATTATTAATATATGAACTCCCACAATGTGTCAGCAGGTCTTAGATATACCAACTTTCCAGCTGGCAGATAATATCAGTGTGGGACAAAGAAATCATTACGCAAGAACTGAAAACCAGCAGATTTTATTAAAAAAATTTTTCACCGTTACTTTCTATGACAAGTTTCATTGATCGTACTAACCCAATTAGGAATATCATCCCACTCATTGACCGTAAAACGCCGCAAATCGCTCATAGCATTTACACGTTTGTTATGAAAAAAAACCAAGCTTTTGTCTTTTTTGTAATAGTGGAAAGCAAGCATTTTCTTTTCTACATTTCTTTCAACAATACTCCAGAGATTCTCTATTGGATTTAGGTCAGGTTCTGTTAGAAGAAAGTTTTTGCGAGGCGAATAGTATGTTCTGGGTCGCTGTCTTGTTGAAAACGCCATTCGTCTCCTAACAAGTCATCAAGCTATCTTCGGAGTATGTCTACATAAAATTCTTGACCATTATTTCGGGAAAACAGTATAAAATCATCTTATCTAGCAAAGAGCTTTGTTGGACCCTTTAGGGTTAGGGTTAACGTTCCAGGTTGTTCATAAACCATACTGTGGGATAACCTTGCGTTTATGAATCTCCACACCGTCCCGAATGCCTTGATCCCACAATTGTTGTATAGCTTGGCGATTTGTCTCTTGTCTGGAAGTCATAGTTCTAATTGATGAAGTTTTAGGAATGTTGAAGGAATTTAAGAAATAGATTAGTGCAAACCTATAAATTGACAGTTCAAAATGAATAAATATAAAATTTTTATCTGACAATCATTTTACAATGTACATTGTTTAAATCGACCTAAAATTGGTGCAGATATGCACGATTGAATGTTACAGCAAAAATTCCGGTTTTTTTTTTGTATCTTAATAGTCTTATTATATTAATATATGCTACCGTTAATTAACACTGCCGATTGGAGAGTTAAGTACCGTATTACTTTATTTAGAAAGTTGTTGATAACACCCCAACTTCCGAATTTAATAGACCAATTTAATTCTCAAAACTGTCGAATGCTTGTTAATATTAGGGAACGCAACGGTTATACAGTATATATTATCCAAGTAGGTCTTAATATTAAAGATGGTCTATGTGATGATTGTCATGATTCGAATAACGCATTATGAGTAGAATTCTACAAAGTCTTGACGCCTTAATGAGCAATATATTAATCAGGACTGGTTTCGAGCCACTTTTTGCTGTTAAGACTGTAGAGAAGGTTTTGCTGTGCATAGTGAATTAGTAATGATATTAATGAAGGACGAGAATTAGGTCCGTATTGTCATAATACTATACACATGACGATTACAAATTTCAAGCAACGAGTGTTTAACATAACATTAAATATCAAGATGCGAAATAACTAAACAGGGTTGCAATAAGGCTAACACGCTCTTGGTGTGTTGGTATCTAAATTCGCCGTCCACAAATTTTCATAAACCGATCGGGCTGCAAAGTGCTCATATGAGTATTTTAGTCTATGACAAAAAGCAAGGTTCCGGATCTTGGCGCGTACTGTTCAAGAGTCACGAAATACGCTCAATGAGATGATGGCCTTGTTAGTCCAGACTTAATCCTTGAAACTACACTAAGTATAGTATAATACTGATGAATAGCAAATTTTTTGATTTTAGTATACGAGCGATTAGATATGGGTATGCAACAGTTTATGAAATCACAAGCACGTATTGGGAGATAAAGACCTGATGGCATTGGGAGAGTATTCGACAATATGGGGCAAGGAAAAACAGAACTACGGATGGAAGCAAGCTGATAATGTTAATGTGTTTGAGTAAATTAAATTAACAATGGCAGTCTGTACTACTGATGATAGATAAGGTAGCCGGCGCGATTAATAACCTCTTAACCTCTCTAACTTAACTGATATCTAAGAGACCATGTCAGGTTCTGGCTCACGTCAAGTTGAATATATAAAAGACGTTCGAATCTCACGAGGAATAGGAAAGGAATACTTGGTCAAGTGGTCAAACAACCTCGTTTATGAGTGGGCTCCGGAGAGAGTTTTACAAGCTTGGAATCATAAAATCGAGGAATTTAATCAGTCTGCAAATAATATACAAGACGACGGGGGCAACCTACTAATCAAAGAAGAAGGGACGAGCTTCCATAATATAAGTATGAAGAGTCGAGAGGACCAAGAAATGGCTCGGCAAGAGTTTTTTACAAAATCGCGTAGTTACAAACCAGTGGGAGTCTCGGACAGTGCACTTGCACCAACAGTAAGCTTCGAGGTTATATACAATATGCCCTAATTCCTGTGTTGTGATTAAAAGCTGTGAATTTACATATAGGAACTAGTCAAGGCTGGCACTCGAAAGCGTCCTATCTTGGGTGAGTATCTCTTACGCTCAATAATTGAACGTATATTGATATAAATACAATGAACATCCTATATATTTATTGCGTCTCAGAAACCCGACCAGAGAAGGAATCCGATTTGGTTATAAACAAGAAATATAAACTACCATCTGCCAATGATACTACTTCGTCAAATGAACACATATTACACTCTACTACTCTCTCATTTTCGACGTCACATCTTGGAACTAATTACGAAGTTAATAATGACAAGACTAATTCGAGCAATTCACATCGAGCGTCGGATATGACATCAAGTGCAATTTTGATACCTGAGAGAATAGACGCAAAGCTTTTTAATACAAGGTCTCCACAGCTATCAACTGGTGAACATTCAAGGTACATGTCACTCCAGTCGTCAAACAAGCCCGTAATGTGTTTATTTGATCTCACAATCATTCGTCATTGGTTCATTGTTATCGAGGTATACTTGGCAAGGTGTTTTATCGAAGCGCGTGAACGAACAGTTTGTAGCAAATGTTATGGTTACGTCACTTGATGGCGATAACCGCGCAGACAGTAAGCTTTTGTATGTTTTATGTCTTTTTGTTTTGTGCTGATTTGTCGTTATATACATACTTATTCGTATTACAATTGTTTCAGTGAAATCCTACAGACGAAGCGACAGTTGACAGTGACATCATTAATACCCCTGAAGTATCTTCTAGCATTATACAAATCGCATGAAGACGACAACAAAATAACGGAATCACCATCTATGATGTGGTCTACAGACGATGCATCTACCAGTCTTGAAGACATGGCCACTGAACTCGAATACCGCGGACAAGTGAGTGACAAAAAGTCGTGCTTTATATGAGGGAAAGAACCGGGATTAATAAGTTATAATTACAACTTTAATAGGCGAGTATAATATGGTTTAGGCCGTGGATCGTTGTATTTTTATGTCCATCATCTAGTGAAGTTCGCAAGTCCTTCCGAATAGCAGAGCCGTCGGCACCTTTTATCATAATGTCTTTATCGTTAAGGTCCTTGCCAGAAAGGCTAGAATATAGCATCATGATAGATAGTGCTGAACTTTTGACAAGAAGAGATTTGAAAGACGCTGATCAATATAACGGAACATTAATGTCACTGGGATTGCAGTTTCCCAAAGAGTTTAATTCGCAATTTGCGAATGCGACTTTCACTATAGTCGCTCCTTCAGCAGTGCAGTATGAGACAGATGATATGATTGCGTATTTGAAAACATTAGGTGGGACATACGAACATTGGAACAACTGCCATGACGTATCAATTGTACTGGTGAGTATTGTGCTATATCCGCGTCGCAGTTAACATAACAAACGTCTAACAGATTATTTGCAGATTCACCGCATTTTTGTGCGGCAAATGATGACCATACCGCACTTAGATAAATTGAAGCGGAATAAGGTCAGAATATATTTGTTTGGCTATGGAGAAGATCCTTGGGCATCACCCATTCCGAAAGAAGTCTATCGTGCAGGTGTATATTAGTTACAAGTAATGCAGTCGAGATATTTGCTTGTATTATTTATGATTTGCTAATGATAAAATTCTTAGGTGGCATCATAACCGTATCCTCGCAGATACTGTGTATGGAGGATGGAGTTATCGATACAGTTCTAGGACATATAAATCACCAGAAAAAAACGTCACCGACCGCTTTATGGTTGTTTAAAATCCATTCCGACACATTCAGACATCTTCGAGAGATAATCGATAATGTTTCGGATGTCCACAGTCGGAACAGGTTGGTTAAACTCTTGAGATTAAATCGTGAATTGCTTTGAGTAATGTTATTGGGTCGTTCGCGAAGGGCTATCCGAACTTTCATTTGCCGGTTACCGACATTCGCGGGCGATTTAATAACATCGAGATTGTCGAAAATGTGTTTCCAAGGCTCTCCTCGATCAACGGATGTTTGACTGAGAATGGGTTCTTCCTAGATGAAAGACCAATCTGATGAATGAATAAGGCATCAACTGGTCGATCGTCTGAGTGTACAATTGGAACATGACAGATTTTCTCGAAGTTATTAGAATATTGTGAACATATCAGTCGGAAACATTATTTTTTCAAATATATTACATGGCACTAATTATTTGACATCTTGTATTATATGTAGGATTCAGGATGCACTCACCAAATTACAAAATGCTATAAACAGTAAGAGAGTTGAAGTATTCGCACCGAATGAGGTTTGGGAGGTAAATATTACTCCAAGTATTTGTTTTGACAAAGAATTGTTGTATTGATATTGTTTTGTTCAACTATTTGATATAGCCAATAATTCATTGTAATCCATCTGAAATTTTACACTGGTCAATGATGCGAATGCATTTATTTTATCATTACGAGTTTCGACATTTTATTATACTTGACGTTCAGAAAAACGGAGTTTTTGAAAAGTTAGGGGTGAGTATCATAAAGTCTAATGTTCGCTTATGTGGAAAACGTAACTGATAAAAACCTTAATTACGTATTTCTAGCTCGAAATAATGTCATTAGATCAATTTAAGCAAGTATATGGTCACGTCTAAGTACGTAGCGATACTAATATCTTCGTATCGCTAGACAATCGTTTTCCATTACCTACTCGATAGTGACTTTATCTAACTTAAGATCAGGTTTTGCTTGTGGTTCGCAAATGGGGATCACGATAATTGCGTCAATTAAGGCACTGATGTTATAAGTCCTGATAGAGTACGATATGTAAAATTAAATTTCGTGATCTGCGTTTAGCATATTCCTGCTGTTATGGGTTACTAAAGAAAGGTCGAAGTATCACTGATAAGTAAACTGTATTAAGCTGAGATGTTAACCTATGAACGATATGTGCCATGATTATTACCCTTTCAGCAAGGACGTTCTGATAACGCTTGTTGAAATAACGCAGGAATATCTGTTATTATTTATGACTATTACTATGTATATGGCTAGGATACGACAAATTTGTGGCATAAGTTCGTACACTAGCTATATAAATTCCGTCCGATAACAAAAGTCGGCCTCTATTTGCACATATTTTTTCCTCACTCGCTGTGCCATTTTCATTGTCTTAGCTATCCGAAATCAACATTAGCATGCGAAAAACATGCAAGTTGAATTTTTACTTAGTCATTCTAACCATTCATTCCAATATTAAATAAAATATTACGACTATTGTTAATATCAAGATAGATGTGTCTATTTATTAAGCTCTAAATACGTTCTACGAAAATGTGACCCGGTCGTCAATACTTCGATATTGCTAGACCAACTGATATTAGTCAAAAACTGAATAAATTAACCAAAAGCGTTGCGGCCAAATTATTAATTTCGTTTATAAATAATTGGGTTAACAAATATAGTTACTAAAAAAATTAAGTTAACTAGAATTAGCTTCTTGGGCTTGTGCCAATCGAGCTTCCAGACTTCTCAAAGCTTCTTCCTTTGCCAACAGTTCTTGTCTCTTTTCAGTAATTTCTCTCTGAACCTTCAGTTCAATTTCTCTCAGCTGTTTATAATGTCAAGATTATAAGAAGACGTTTAAAAAATCACTGTCAAATTTTGTTAATAAACAAAGAGTATCTTACCTTCTCTTCTTCTCTCTTCAGTTGCTCTTCCTTCAATCGCACGCTTTGGGTGGCCAAATCCTCTGGTAAAATGCTATTATCTCTGCATAAAATAAAATGTGTGAGTACTGTCTCCAGAAACTGACATTATTTGCTGAATATGCATAATAGCTTACTCGGTAGCGTGATCAACACTTCGGCTAAGCTTCTCAGTACGATAATTCTCATATAAGAAGTCGTGGGTAATTTCCTTCAAGTCTTGCAGGTGAGAACTGATAGATAGGCAGAGAATTAGCGATAAGCGATGACGTTTTTCGACTAACAGTTTAATCCAAAGAATAGATACCTCAAAAGAGCAGATCGCAGTTTGCCAAAGTCGGAATGTTGAGGATTTTCAACTAAAGATAGAAATAGTATGCTTAGCAGAAGGTTGATGGTGTCCGAGAAATAAACGGCCCAATTTACCTTCGACTACACCCCAAGGATACTGGCGTCCTCGAACGGCCCTTCCGTTCACCATAATTTCTTCGTCGCTTCCAATAATAGCGAACGGCAAAAGTTCCTACAACAAAAATTTATTATTAATCGGATCTAAAAATAAACACAATGAAGAACAGTCTGCCTCTGTTTCATACCCGTAATTCACTGTTTTCCTCTACGGTCTCTTCATCATCTTCTTCCACGTCGTATGGAAAGTTATATATCGGAATCTTGTAATGATCGATATCTTCCATAATCTTTTAACGATAGAATTACTTAATATGGGTGATTTGCAGACTCGTTATACAAAGATTCAACATACCCTTTTCTTGAATTCTTGAAGTTCGCTTGGTGTTAGTGTGTCTGCTTTACCAATAACGGGAATAACATTAACACGAGGGCTCAAGCGCTTCATTAGCTCGATGTCGATCTCACGTAAGCTATTTAAGACAAAAGTTAATTCTCACTATAAAAAATTATTGACTAATTAAATTAATACAAGTGGTATATCCATGCACTTACGAGTGGCCTGTTGGGGCAATGAAATAAAGAAGCGCATGCACTCGATTATCTCTAAAACGAGGGTTTCTTTTAATGCGCGACTCTTCAGCAAGGATATCATCGTATTGTCTCTCTAAATATCCCATAATCTCTTGAAAACTTTCGATAGATATTGCAGGTTAAGAGGGCGATCATTCGGTTTCAAATGTTGTGAAATTCAGCAAAAACCGCTTACCAAAATTCATTGTCTATGTTGTCACCAAAGCCGGGAGTGTCTACAATGGTTAAAGCAATTCTGACTCCATCCTCATCCAATTCTACGAATTGCGATAAAAAGTTAGCCCAACACGCCATGACGTAGAGTTGTACAAATTCACAAACTTACCAACAGTCTTTGGTGTGATGCGAATGCCTTCTTCGTTATGTGCTTTCTCGGGATTGTCACATACTTTTTTGGGTAGCACCTCACTCCCGCACAAAGTGTTGACGAAAGTCGTGCGGCCTGTCCCAGACGCACCTAAACATATAATAATGTACAATTAGACAACTTATTCATATTAGACGACTGCATAAACAATGAGTTGTTAGGCTCGAAACCGGGTCTAAAACTCCTGGTTGATAAAAAGCAGCCGAAAAGTGCTTGCTACAGTATGAGCAGTTGTTTCGTGACCAGCTGGTTGTTCATGTCTGCTCATCTGGACGCCACATAGCGAAAGGAACAACTTCCAACCACACGGATTACAAAAGATGGATGTACTTGCTTACCAACAACCATAAGAGTAAATTGAAATCCCTTTTTGACATTTTTTCTACGGCCTCCCAATCTCTAAGGACAAAAGAATTGAACGGATATTAGCGTGAAATAAGAACTATTGTATGTTCCATATTCTCATTGACTCCCAAGGCGTTATAGAAAGACTTACGTGAGCCATGGCTTATTGATTATTGTTTAAAAGTTTAGAGAAAGAAATATGGGTACAAATGAAAGATATCAAGTTTTCAGAGTTGAGTATGTCAGATATTTGACGATCTTTGCCACTAAAATTCAGCAGGAACAAATCAAAGTATAAACATGTGCGAGTTAAGCTAGAAACGACCAATAAAATTTGAAACAAGTATGACTTATGCGTGGTTTAAGAGTTTGGATAGTCTCTTTAATAATAATCCAAACATGGAACACAACTAAATTTGTGAAGTGAAATATATGCGATGCTCACCAATCAGGTTGGTGGAATGATATTGTGAGACTTCTGCCAAAATTGGGGAACTTTAATTTCGGGATGTCCAATGGAATTTTCTCAGGGACACTCTTTTGTTTGTGTATGGCAGAATGGACCATTCACCTAACTGTTGCGACGTAATAACGGACACGTGTGTTCTGGTCGTCGAATTATTACATTATCAAAGTGCTGGCGGTTTATTGACATAGTAGGGTAGCATCAAGCCTACAAAATATCACAAGCATTAACTTGCATACAGAGTCGAATCATCGGCAGTTTCTATGTGCAGCCCACTTAGTATGGTTCGAAACAGCGCAACGTTTTTGCTTTTACGTTGGAACCAAATAATGAAAGAAAAGATACTGAAAATGACAGATATTAGTTAATCTTTTCTGATTGAACAAGCAAGCGTCGGCACTCGGCAAGGAAAAATGTCCTAGTTTGTAGTAGCATTGATAATTCTACGAGGTAAGGATATAGTCACTTGTTATTATATTCTCAGCGGATGGATTGAATCGATCAACTATAGCTAAAAATAGTCAACTATAATCAATCAATTGGCATAATTATGTTACAGAACTAAGGCTCCATCAAGCAATGCCCGGAGAAAAATTCCCCGGGCGCCATTTGGATCTCTATTAATCTGAAGTCCACACCCATCACACCCAAATACTTTATTTCCACC